AACAAGAAAAGCTAAAAGAACCAAACCCAAACAAATTAAAATGAACAGATTAGTTCAAGCACTTCCTAATAGGAATTGACTTGAATATTCCTTAATGCAGTAGGATTCCTTACTTACGAAGGAATAAAAAAAATTACTATCTCCTTGTTTGAATAGAACTCAAAGAGAATTTCCAACTCCTTATTGTAGTAGGATTCCTTCTTCTTTAAGGATTTGGCCACAGATTTCTTCTCTATATAAGGAATTCCAACCACAAAATTGTGTTGCTTGTTTCTCTCTCTCTCTCTTTTTTGGTGATCCTCTTCCTTTTTTTTTTTTTATTTTGTATGACCTCTTTCTTTTTTTCTCTCTTTTTTCTTTTTGAACCAACAACACAAATTCAGAAGAGCAAAATAAGAAAGAGAAGAATGACACTAAATTTTTTTTTTTTTACAATAAAAAACTGAAAATTAAAGATACGCAAACCTGATTTAGGATCTGATGCTCTGATACCAAGATGATGAGAAACCCAAAGAGAACAATGAGACCCACAGAACGACAAGGGATTTCTAAACTCCAAGAAAGCTAAATCAAGTTTATAATAAGACCTTTACCCGTTGTTTATGTCGCAACAAGAACCAAAGGTAAAAAACACCTTGACCCGTCATCTATGGTGCAACAAAAACCAGAGGTATAAAGTTGGTTGACGCCACACCCTCAAATGATTAAGAACAAGAATGATAAGTCAGGTTAGAATGCCACAAGAATAATCTTGATAAGTTTTGTAAAGTTCTGAAACGAACAAAAGAGAAAACTCTCTCAAAAAACTCAGATTCAATAGCTTCCCCCAATTAGGGTTACAAGCCCTTTAAATAGGGAAAAGTAATTCTAATCAAAAAAGGAAACCAACACCCTAAGCCCTAATCCTAATAACCGCGAATTGGGCCTCAAATAAATGAATGTTCAGCCCAAATTAATACAAAAAAACGTGAAAATCGCTGAAAGTAACCTAAAGTAACATGAAATATCAGTTTGTTACAAATTGTGACAGAATCACAGAATTTTGATGCAAGCTGTGTAATTTAGCATAAATGACCTCAATTAAGCTTCTCTTGAATCTGAATGATGTTTACCATGCCTTGATAATCATCCAAGCTTCGATTTACTTGTTGCATGTTGTTATCAACCCAGATCTGCTCAATAAGGCCATTTAAAAGCTTCTCGCATCTTCCTAGCTCTAGCTCTCATGACTGGACCTCCTGGAATGTGTAATGGATCTCTTGACGTGGTACATGTGGGGTCATCTTGATTCCCATCAATCACCTTCCTTCATCCTAATCTGTTGATACCCACTCTTTAAATCAATTTTAGTGAATATGCAAGAACCATGCAGTTCA